CTGCCAATTTGGAGGAGGATTCAGATTTTTCTGCTTTTTCTGCTGTGTTGCACCTCTGTTACAGATTCATTGACCCTTTGTGGTATATTTTCATTTTACTTAATAATACACTGTATAGTTAGGATTCTTAATTAAAAGACTGTAATGCTTCTCCACAGATGTTATCAGAACTACCTTATACAGAGCCCCCAAGGGTTAGGAGAATGAAGAAGAAGACCACAACTCCCTCAGCTCAACAACACAATTTGTTGCTTCCTCCATCCATTTCAAAGGTGAAATCTTGACCTCATTTTGATAGAAATGCTAACAGACACACATGTTACACACATTTAGTTTTTCAGTTCCTCCTGGGGGGCTCTAAAGAACTGTTGTGAATAATTGGTTGATATTGTAAATTGACATCTGAATACAAAAAATAAAAGGATTTTAGAATCAATAGTGGTGATTACTTTATTTATAAGTTAATTTCCCACAACATTTTAATCGAAACAGTGAAAACCTTTAGCTGTATCTATTATGTATTGCTTTAGTATGTTTTCAGTTGAGGATATTTCACAGTAATTTTGAAGATCATATTTTGGTGTCTGATCGCAATAATTTAGCAAAAATCTGTAAAATAATCATATTTTCCTGCAGAACTTTTAGCGTTGTCCCTTTATTGGAGGTGATTGATCATAATTATTTGGGAAAAATCTGTAAAATAACGGTATTTTTCTGTAAACATTTTAATGTAATTTCCTGTAAATGTAATGTTTTTACACATTATTTGAATTAGGGTATTTTACTTTAATTTTACTTTATTTATTTTTTACGGGTTTTTTTCTTACAGTGTGGTGGATGACTTGTGGTCGATGACTTTGACTCCTTCCCAGTCAATGCTGGGACTGATTTTGGTCTGGATTTCTCAGACAGCTGATGTTGTCTGTTTCTGTTGTTCATTCAGTCTCTTGTTCAGGGTTCTTGCTGTTTCACAATGTAGTGTTCCCCATAGTTATTTAATGTGTTATCAGAAACCACTCCAGTCTTTCTCTTTGGATGAAGCCTGAACCATTACACTTGGTTGAAAGCTCCTTAAAGCTACTAACTCCATCATTGAGGCCTCCAGGTACAAATTCAGGTCTCTTTCATTTCACAGCAGTGTGATGTGCAAACTCATTGTAGAGAAACTATAAAAGGTGGAATCAATGATAGACAATTTTAATAGAATAATAATCATGTAAACTTATGGAATACATCATTGTCAGCAAAACAATGGAAATCTATATTGTGTTTAAAATGCATTTACCAAAATAGAAATGAACAGGACCCAGGATCAAACCCTGTGGTACACCACAATAACAGAAACTTCTTTAGTAAATATAAAGACAGGAGCCATCAAAACCTGAGTCTGGGTTGTCTACCAGTTTATGGAGATACTTGATTCAAACTGTATGATTTATCAGTAGTGGAGTTAAATATAACAGTAAATATAATTACACACTTACTAACTTAATATAAAACTGAATTGAAATTGAAATGATCACACTGACAGGCCTCATTCACAGCCCTGTCTTATATGATTTCCAGTTAACAGTCCATCATTTACTGCAGTTCAACCAAAACTGAATAAAAATGTTAAAGACCAGAAACTGTAAAGGTGGACTTCTGCCCAGAAAAATGCAGACTGTACCCAGTCCAGCTGGTAACAGATCAGCTCAGTATGCTCAGTATATGACTGAATATTTGAGCTATAAAATACTGGACCCAGTCTGACCTGGTAAATGTTGGGAAACAAATAGAAATGTTATAAGAATAAAACAATGTATGATAAATGCACTTTAGATACATAATCACAGGTCACAAATCTATTTATTTAGCTAAAAGATTCAATGTTAGACACGTTGTTGTTCAGATGTCACATATTACTCATTTTAATTTTCAGTGTTGATTTATTTGTTTCCATGGTGTCTTGTGTTTGAAGCATCATCCAGTTGGTTTGTCATTGATGTGGATTTGCTGCTCATGTGAATCCTCCCACAGTGTTTCATTAGCAGCTGTAACCACAGTGACTCTGATAAAACAGGAATTAGCAGAATCCATCTGATATGAAGCTGTGGTTTGAATACCACTTCCCTCCTCTTTGAAGAGTAGTCAGATATCTGTGTTCAGGTTTTTGTACAGCCTCTTCTACACTTTGTATCACTGTGTTTCTAGAGCACAGTAGTAGAGAGCTGTGTCTGCCAGGGTTAGTTTTCTGATGGTCAGTTCAGTTGATGAATCTGTTGTTTGAGATTCATATCGTTTATCTGGAATATATTCACCTGATCGTGCTCCTTTATAGAGTATAAACTGAGGAGCCTGAAGGTCAGAATGTCTGTACCAGTGAAGCAAAATATTGCTGACAGTTGTCTGATATCGACATTTGAGTGTGACAGATTCTCCTTCTCTTCCACTGACTTTATCTCCTACAGGAGAGATTGTGTCTCCAGCTATTAGTCCTGGAAAAAGTGGAGAAAATGAAGCCATTAGACTAACATTGTTCATGAGGCTGAGAGGAGAAGACAGTGGAAAATATCAAGTGTACAGTGTTACTCTGTGGACAGAAACAGCTCAACTGTTGAGAGATTTCTGCTCTGAACTCCAGTTTCCATCAATCTTTAGAAAAGAATAAAAACATGTTGTGCTTTCTATCTTACCAAAGAAAAGAGCAGCAAGAATAATCCACAGCCAATGTTCCATCTCTACAACAAGGTTTAAATCAACAGGAGAAACTAGCTGATGTTCAACATTCAGTGTGACAATTGTTCTCTTCACAGCAGCAGTTATTATTGACAGAATGGTTGAACACAGTGCAGAAGTAGTGCACCGCCTACTTGATAATGTCGCCCTCTAGTGGAGCTAAAAAGTTGAGTCCAACAGTGTGGAAAAAAGGCTTCCAGCAGCTTGTCAGTGTGTCAGCTTGTGTTTTTGTACAGAGACTGTGGGTTTGCTGTCACTGTGGGCCTCACAGCACAGTAGTACAGAGCAGAGTCTGTCACTGCAGCAGAGGAGATCTGCAGATCCATTTGGGTTTTATCCTCACTCACTGTAACTGACAGTCTAGAGACTGGATTAGACATTAATGTTCCCGTTCCCAAGTGAGAGATGAGGAACTCTGGTGGTTTTCCTGGATATTGTCGATACCAGAAGAAATAATCATCGTAACTGGCAGCTTTGTAGTATGTGTAGGACAGAGTAACAGTGCTGTCTTCTAAACTGGACTCTTGTTTCTTCAGTGGAGTGAGTTCTTCACAGCTGACACCTAAAGGAAGAAATAACTCTGTTATACAAAGTTGTACAATTCTTTCCATCACTGTATTCAGAAAATATTGGAGTGAAACTTTAAAAAAGTTAAACCTTTGAGAATGACCAGAAATATCAGAGAAAACAGACAATGATGCAGTGACAGCATGTTGAATAAAGGTAATGTTTCTGGTTTGTGTATTGAACTCTGAATATGAATATGGAAGTTCCTCTCTCTTCTATAGTTCAGTAACAGCTTAGCTCCTCCCTGAATCTCTCCCTCTCCTCTTAGATCTGTATTTTTTTCCTTCTGGTTAACAGACTGGTAGCAGCATTCTCTACCAGCTGGAGGTGGGACGTTTTCTGTTAATGATCCTTATATTACTTGAGTTACATGAGTGATTTAAAGGATGGATCACCTTTTTCAGGGTTTGTAAATATAACATTTTGTTTTAAAGTGGATGAAATCTTTATCACAGTACAACTTAAGTACGTCAATTAAAAGGAAGCTCAGTGTCAAATATTACATTAGTATGTGTAACATCAATGGAGAGTGCAATCAGATTTGATTTTAGAGGTTTTTCAGAATTTTCAGGGCGAATCAACAAATCTCACTCAATTAATAGGTCTGGAACACCAACAGTTAATGAACCAGCTGCCACGAGTACTGGCGTTTAATTTAAAAAATAATCATGTAATGTATAAAAATGAAACTGATGTTGTCTATAGAAATATTTTGATCTAAAGCAGAGATGTCCCAATCAAAGGTTTTAAACCCTGAGTTTCTCTCTCCAGTCTTTGTTGCTTCAGTGCAGCTTTTACCTGAGTTACCTGAATGAACTGTCTGTATTCTGCTGACTGTTTCTGTAGTTTCTTTACTCTCTACATCTTTTGCCAGTTATAAATTAATTATTATTCTTATTGGCTTTTTGTTCACAGGACTTTAGTTGCACTTGCAGTGGCGTGTTGAGTGTGGTTGAGTCTCTCCTGCTCTCTCCTGCGAGCAGAGGGAGGCCCACAGTGAAACTCCACATTGGGCGGTTGCTCCTGCTCTCTCTCACTCAGAGCAGGATGGAGGAAAGAAACAGTGAGAGTTGACAAAGGCTGAACTGTGCATGAAAGCTTCCTCAGCTGTGTGATAGCTGAACAAAAGATCTGATCACATCAATAAAGCTCAATATAGCAGATACCAGTCAGTTAACAAGTATTTGATCAGCACCGATACTGATCATTGGATCAGATTGGGAAGTCCCTAATCTAAAGGCAGCATATAAATAGAAAATGAGAGGACCTAGGACTGAGCCAGTGGGAAATTGTACATAAAACTAAAAAGATGAAGCAGATTAACATTCATTTTTGAAAAGTCATCGGAAAATTGTACTTTATTGTATTTGAAAGGTTTAATCTTTATCCTTCATGTTTGTACCTAGCATGGATTTGACCTATTACACTGGGTATTGCAAACTATGTGATTCTACACTGTATCATCAGATACTATTGAAGTTTAACAGTGTGTGACTCCCTCTAGTGGATGTTGTGGAGTATTCTGTTGTCTTTGCTCTAAAGGTTTTTGTACAGAGTTTTGGTGTTTCCTGTCACTGTGGGCTTCACAGCACAGTAGTACACAGCAGAGTCTGTCACTGCAGCAGAGGAGATCTCCAGATGAAACTCCTTTGAATTTTTGTCATGTGTTAAAGACAACCTTGCTATTTTCTCTGAATATTCCATGATGAGAAGCTGTGGAGGTGAACTGAACTTCTTTTGATACCAGAAGAGGTTGTCAACAGAGTCTGAATATTTACAGGAGAGAGTCACAGTGTCTCCTTCCAAAGCCAGCATTACATCTTTAAATGGTTTCACTAAATCCTCAGAGGATCCTGAAAAGAACAAAGATATATTTCACTGTCACATCTGTATTTCTCTAAAGTGAGTTTAGTTAAAGAAGAACATTCATGAATTTGCAAAGAACATGAAATGTTTTTGAATCATGTCTAACATATCTTGTTGAAGTTGATTTACCAGTATGAAAGATGAAGATCATCATCCAAACTAAAGAGAGCTGCATTATTTCCACTTGTACTGAATGAACAACAGAGAGAACACAGCAGCTCTTCACTTCCAAAATGAATTGTGTAGCTCCTCCTCTTGCTGTGGTCTGTTTGCATTCAGGCTGATGGAAGCTTTAGAAATGACAGTGATGCTGAAATCATCATCATCCAAGAAGGTCAGACTGAAGGAGGAATCTGCAGAAAACTCAACTGAATCAGTCTGTAGAGAAACAACTTCCTGAAACATCCAAACTGCACACTGTACAGACATTCTAACTGTTGTGAGTGTGAAACATGTTTAAAGAAATCTTGGAACAGAAAACATGATTAAGGCTGCAACTAACAAAACTTTAATCGTTGAAAAGTCTTTTAGTCTGTAAAATGGTCTTGTGTTTGAAGCATCATCCAGTTGGTTTGTCATTGATGTGGATTTGCTGCTCATGTGAATCCTCCCACAGTGTTTCATTAGCAGCTGTAACCACAGTGACTCTGATAAAACAGGAATTAGCAGAATCCATCTGATATGAAGCTGTGGTTTGAATACCACTTCCCTCCTCTTTGAAGAGTAGTCAGATATCTGTGTTCAGGTTTTTGTACAGCCTCTTCTACACTTTGTATCACTGTGTTTCTAGAGCACAGTAGTAGAGAGCTGTGTCTGCCAGGGTTAGTTTTCTGATGGTCAGTTCAGTTGATGAATCTGTTGTTTCAGATTCATATCGATTATCTGGAATATATTCATCATCTGTGTTATCTTTTGCTCCTTTATAGAGTATAAACTGAGGAGCCTGAAGGTCAGAATGTCTGTACCAGTAAAGCCTAATATAGCTTTCAGCTGTCTCATATTGACATTTGAGTGTGACAGATTCTCCTTCTCTTCCACTGACTTTATCTCCTACAGGAGAGATTGTGTCTCCAGCTATTAGTCCTGGAAAAGGTGGAGAAAATGAAGCCATTAGACTAACATTGTTCATGAGGCTGAGAGGAGAAGACAGTGGAAAATATCAAGTGTACAGTGTTACTCTGTGGACAGAAACAGCTCAACTGTTGAGAGATTTCTGCTCTGAACTCCAGTTTCCATCAATCTTTAGAAAAGAATAAAAACATGTTGTGCTTTCTATCTTACCAAAGAAAAGAGCAGCAAGAATAATCCACAGCCAATGTTCCATCTCTACAACAAGGTTTAAATCAACAGGAGAAACTAGCTGATGTTCAACATTCAGTGTGACAATTGTTCTCTTCACAGCAGCAGTTATTATTGACAGAATGGTTGAACACAGTGCAGAAGTAGTGCACCGCCTACTTGATAATGTCGCCCTCTAGTGGAGCTAAAAAGTTGAGTCCAACAGTGTGGAAAAAAGGCTTCCAGCAGCTTGTCAGTGTGTCAGCTTGTGTTTTTGTACAGAGACTGTGGGTTTGCTGTCACTGTGTGCCTCACAGCACAGTAGTACAGAGCAGAGTCTGTCACTGCAGCAGAGGAGATCTGCAGATCCATTTGGGTTTTATCCTCACTCACTGTAACTGACAGTCTAGAGGTTGTTTCATTTTGTGTTCCCAAGTGAAAGATGAGGAACTCTGGTGGTTTTCCTGGATATTGTCGATACCAGAAGAAATAATCATTGCCATCAGCTTGTTTGTAGTATTTGTAGGACAGAGTAACAGTGCTGTCTTCTAAACTGGACTCTTGTTTCTTGACTGCAGTGAGTTCTTCACAGCTGACACCTAAAGGAAGAGATAACTCTGTAACTTTATGATCTAAAGGTTTTTATCAATGAAGCTCTTTTAATGTTAATGATCTCACCTACCTCTTATTGTGAGCAGAAACAAAGTCACAAACAGACTGAAGTTCACTGACAGCATCTTAAAGATAAAGACAATCTGTCTGTTTTTTGGATGAAACACCACTGTGAAAGTTTCTGTCTTTTCTGTACTTGAGTCTCAGTTTTGCTCCTCCCTTAATCCCTCCCTCCTTCCTCTCACAACTCTGACAAATAGTGTGTTTGTCACTGCTGTGCTGCTGTTATTCACTAAATGCCATCATTTCCATCAGGTAACAAGTAGCTGATAAGGTCACACTGATTGACACTTTACAGCACGTGAAGGTCCTGACTGAGTTACATTTTTCCGACGATATACTACTGTTCATTTACACATGACAACCATATTCATTACTTATTAAATACTTTACACAAACAATATTATCCACATTATTACATTAATGTCACATTTGAGGAAAAATTACATCATGGGTACTTAAAAAATAGATCACCTACAAAATTTATTTTTTATAGGAAGATGTTTTGCTTCTATCACATTCAAAGAAAAGGAAAAGGAAACATTATTTCATCAATGTACAACTTTAGTCAGCTGATGATGAAAGGGAAGCTCAGTGTAAAATATTATACCCAGACTAATACTGTACTGTTGTTTTAATTTCAAGAGAAAGCTAAGCAAGGTTGTATTTTATACGGTTCTCAGGATTTTAGTGAAAACAAACACATGTCAGTTCTAGACTAGACTAGTTGTATAAAGGTCTGAAACAGCAGCACTTAGACATAATAGTAATAATAATAATAATAATAATAATAAAGCTGCTACCATAATTACTGGATTATAATGAGATATATAACCACACATTTTCAGCAAAACAATCAAAATTTAAGATGGGTTTAAAATATGTTTGAGTGTGCATAACAGCTGAATACAATTAATAATTTGGAAAAGATCTGGAACATTTTGTAGACCTAATGTCAAACTCGCTCAGAAAGTTTGAGACATTTTTCTTAAAGTTTTCCATGGTCGGGATACAAACCTTTGACCAAGCACCGAGTGCATCATCTTGAGTCATGAACTCAAACCACTAAATTACTGATCAACCTGCAAGACCTGAGAGAAGAAGCAAGATAATAAAAATGAGAGAGGTCCTAATTGTTAAACATGGCCTCTGTCCTGTATCTGCCCTGTCCTCTGTAACTTAGTATTATTGTCAAAATGTACTCGATCAAATCTTTATAACCTGTCTCTGAAAGACGATTAGTGTCGAATTATTGGACTCGCTCAAACTAAAATAAATAAAATTAAGTTATTAATGTCATGATTGTTTTTTCAGTATTATATGAATCAGAAAAAGAGTACAGACCTATGACCTGTATCTACAACACTTACATATGTAACAATAATTGTTGATACAATTTTATGAAATGTTACACACATGTTAAAGTGACTTTATGTATAACATTTCACTTATTTTGTGCTGTATCATTACTGCTTCATACAGAAGTGTGCTTTATTATATCTGAAAGGTATAATCCTTTTTATTTTGGTGTTACCTTGGTTATCTGGATGAAATTTAATTTACAATGCAGTGTCAGTAGTTTAATTTCTAAAGCTTTACATCTCAGTCCTGTCAGACCCTATTATCACATAGCACTGTAGTTTAACAGTGTGTGACTCCCTCTAGTGTGTGTTGTAGTGGGTGTTGAGTATTCTGTTGTCTTTGCTCCAAAGGTTTTTGTACAGAGTTTTGGTGTTTCCTGTCACTGTGGGCCGCAGAGCACAGTAGTACACAGCAGAGTCAGACAGCTGAAGCTTCTGGATCTTCAGAGGAACTGACTTATTCTTGATTGTAGCATTAAATCGGTCTTTCTTAAACTGAGCAGCATTTTCTGATGAATCTGAGAAACATTTCAGCATGAACTTTGGGGAATCAATTCCATCCTGTTTGTACCAGAACAAATAGGGGAAGCTGTCACTGGTCTCAAATGTACATCCAAGTGTAACTGTCTCTCCCTCAGTAGCAATGACATCTCCTGGTGGCTGGGTCACTCTGTCTTCTCCTTTACACTCTGGGGAAGAAGAGAACATGCAGAGGAAGAGATGAATCAATAAAGATGATTGATTAAAGGAGAACAATCAGTAGGTTTAAAGAGTTACCTAGCCAGAGAGTCAGAATCAGGATGTTTCTCAGCCAGTGTTTCATGTCTGCAGTGAGAGGGGGAGGAGAGAGAGGAAGAACATTGATACTCTGATGGATCTGGGCCTTCACATCATTGGTCCTTCCTCTTTATCATCTGTTGAGGAACTCTCTACATTTACATCTTCATTTATATTCAGCAGTGAAATATCTCAGAAACTGCTGAATGGATTGTTATGAGCTTTTATCCAGATATTCATGGTTCACAGAGGATGATGGATTCCCTCTCAACTGAAGACACAGTTGAAGTTAATATGAGACTTCCACAGTGAGATCCAGTGGGTTTCTTCTAAAGTTTAAGACTTTTTAACATGAAATTGCCTCTGCACAAAAAGATTTGGATCGTATCTTTTTTGTGTAACTCAGACTGCTGAATCATCATATTACCTTGAACTGAACTTTGGAATATATTTCTGTACAGAATGAGGACTATGGAGTTTGTCCCCCATCACTAGGATGGAATTCACATCAGGAAAATATATTCTAAAGACCAGTATGAACAGGAGGAATGATTACAGAAAGAATCATGTTTTAATGTACATATGAACATGTGAATGTTGTTTTAAGACAGGCTGTTTACTGAATAACTATTTATTTTATCACTGGATCTTATTATCAGTGTCCACTTGATGGGGCTGTTGTTCAGTAAAAGCAGAAGCTGGAGTGTGTAAATCTTCAGTGAGGAGCTGTCAGGTTTTTGTACAGAGTTTTGGTGTTTCCTGTCACTGTGGGCCTCACAGCACAGTAGTACACAGCAGAGTCTGTCACTGCAGCAGAGGAGATGTTCATATCTATTTGGTTTTGCTCCACTTTAATCTTCAGTCCAGGGATTTGTTCATTTACTACATTTCCTGAAGCAGAGTGAGAGATGAGGAACTCTGGTGGTTTTCCTGGATATTGTCGATACCAGAAGAAATAATCATTAGTTTTCAGTTTAGAGTATGTGTAGGACAGAGTAACAGTGCTGTCTTCTAAACTGGACTCTTCATCCTTTACTGGAGTGAGTTCTTCACAGCTGACACCTAAAGGAAGAGATAACTCTGTCATTTCGTGTTGCAAAAGACTCTTTGTAATTCAATTTCATCATCACCATGCAGAAACAACATACCTGTTATGATGTACAGTAGAGTAATAGTAGAGAAAGTTGTGTGCAGTGACAGCATGTTGAATAAAGGTAATGTTTCTGGTTTGTGTATTGAACTCTGCTGAATATGGAAGTTCCTCTCTCTTCTATAGTTCAGTAACAGCTTAGCTCCTCCCTGAATCTCTCCCTCTCCTCTTAGATCTGTATTTTCTTCCTCCTGGTTAACAGACTGGTAGCAGCATTTTCTACCAGCTGGAGGTGGGAAGGCTTTTGTTTATTCTTTTATTACTGGAGTTACATGAGTGATTTAAAGGATGGACCACCTTTTTCAGGGTTTGTAAATATAAGAATTTGTTCTTGAGTGGAGGAAATCATCATCACAGTACAATTTAAGTCTGTCCATGAAAAGGAAGCTCAGTGTCAAATATTACATTAGTATGTGTAACATTAATTGGGGACATTTTTCCGAATTTTCAGGGCGAATCAACAAATCTCACTCAATTAATAGGTCTGGAACAATGTATAAAAATGAAACTGATGTTGTCTATAGAAATATTTTGATCTAAAGCAGAGATGTCCCAATCAAAGGTTTTAAACCCTGAGTTTCTCTCTCCAGTCTTTGTTGCTTCAGTGCAGCTTTTACCTGAGTTACCTGAATGAACTGTCTGTATTCTGCTGACTGTTTCTGTAGTTTCTTTACTCTCTACATCTTTTGCCAGTTATAAATTAATTATTATTGTCATTGGCTTTTTGTTCACAGTTGCACTTGCAGTGGCGTGTTGAGTGTGGTTGAGTCTCTCCTGCTCTCTCCTGCGAGCAGAGGGAGGCCCACAGTGAAACTCCACATTGGGCGGTTGCTCCTGCTCTCTCTCACTCAGAGCAGGATGGAGGAAAGAAACAGTGAGAGTTGACAAAGGCTGAACTGTGCATGAAAGTTTCCTCAGCTGTGTGATAGCTGACGTAGAACAAAATATCTGATCACATCAATAAAGCTCGATATAGCAGATACCAGTCAGTTAACAAGTATTTGATCAGCACCGATACTGATCATTGGATCAGATTGGGAAGTCCCTAATCTAAAGGCAGCATATAAATAGAAAATGAGAGGACCTAGGACTGAGCCAGTGGGAAATTGTACATAAAAAAAAAAAAAATGAAGTAGATGAACATTCATTTTTGAAAAGTCATCAGAAAATTGTACTTTATTGTATTTGAAAGGTTTAATCTTTATCCTTCATGTTTGTACCTAGCATGGATTTGAACTATTACACTGGGTATTGCAAACTATGTGATTCTACACTGTATCATCAGATACTATTGAAGTTTAACAGT